AAAGTAAAAGTAGTTACAACTGTCATATTGACGTTAAAATCAAATTTAATTATCATAGGGCTTAATTGTGGCGGGGAACGTATAATAACCATTAAATTGTCTATTTAGACTATACTAGATAGTATATTAGATAGTATTAGTAGTATTGGTTTCAATCATAAGTGCCAAAAGTCTGTAGCTTTGCGTAATATCTTGATTTCAATTATTTAACATTTTGTTGAAAGTTTTTATCTCTAAACTAAAATATAAAGTCTTTATCATTAATATAAATATTTATTTTTATTACTTTTTATTATTTAAAATTTTTTGAAATTAATAAAAATAATTGATTTGTTTAATAATTTTTGAAGTTCCTTTTTAAGACCTTGTTTATTAAAGCCATACCGTAGACAGGAACCATCGGTTTTCTTTTCGGTTGTTAAACTTTAGGTAGTGTGAACCTACCTAAACTCGATTTTTACTGATAGTTGGAATAAGTTTTATTTCATTTTCTTTTAATAAAAATAATGTATAAAAACGTCAAAGCAAATGTATTTTAACTTTTTACAATAAAGCAAGATTTTAAGTTCTACGAAAAAAAGTTCACGGTTTCTGGTCAACAAAACATTTTGATGCAAAAATATTTCCGCGTACTTAAGTTTAAGAGTATTTTTAGAAAACTCTTAAAAAACTTCTATTTTTAAGATAAACAAATTAGAGAAAAGGATTTTTAAAAATAAATAAAATATTTATAAATTTTTGAAGTTTTCGAACTTTTGTTATATTATTTAACAAAGCAAAAATGAAGTAAGAGGAAAATATTAAATTTAATAAATGAGAACTTCTGTAAGAGATTATAGATAAAAATACATAAGAAGAATTTTTTATAAATTCTTTAAATCAATTTAATGCAATTTAAAGAAAAATACAATTTTCTACTATTTTCTTTACAAAAATAAAATACTTAAGCAGATTTTTTCAACGCTTTTCCCAGTTAATAGAAAACATGTCGCTTGCTTTCTGTATTTTAAATTGAATTTGGAAGCACAAAAGTAACTGATTTTCGTACGAAATTGGCGTAAGGCAAACTTTATTTAAGGAAATTTCATTAAAAACTATTTGCAACAGATTAGATTTAAAGTAAATTTGAATGAATTTAATTCTGAAACATTTTAACCGCAACCGACAGAGCTGATGTGCGTCGCAGAAAAAGCGCAGATTTTTTGCTCAAAGAAAAATTGTTGCACGGTCCGCAATGTGAACGAACCGCAACGAAATTTAAGCGCCAAAACCGACAAAACCACAAACCTACTGAGGGACTTAAACAAATCTACGAAAAATTGCATACCGACAGTGCCATACATAGTTGTAGCTATTATATGAATCCCAGCGAAGAGTGGGTTTCATACCTTTTGAAATGACGCAGAGAAATTGCATTGGAATTGTTAAAAGTTGTGATTAAAAAGAAAAATAATAAGAAGTCTATGGGGACTTGTTAGCAAGTTAGTGAGAATACTCCATAAAGAAATAATAATTCACTTTTTTCTTGCAATTTTGACTAAAAATCCGAATTTACTATTCTCTAGTTAAATTAGCACAAAAATTTAACTAAGCATGATGAGGGTTTGTAAATAATTTCCCGATGGGTCTTCAGTTTTTTCAATTTAACCAGAAAAATGTACCCAGCTGGAGCCACACTTATGTGCAATTATAAGCGAGCACGAAATTTGGCTCATTATTGAAGCTCTAATGACAACAGCAGCTCCACTACTCTTTTATTTGCTTGGGTGTATAATTTATAGAAGAGTTTTGGCTCCACAAAATAAAATAAAACAAAAATTTTGTTAGCTATTTTTAATAGCTCTGAGTTAAATTTAATGCTGAGTTAATATTATTTAATATATTCATATAGCTGTGGTTTATGCGTTACTGCTAAAGAAAGTCACAGTGTTAGAGTAAATGTTGTTGGAAATTTGTATGAAATATATCATTATCATTAACATGTTAACATTATCTTAAATGATGATTTAAGATAACTGAAACTTCCAAAATTTCATTTGTTAAAAAAAAATCTGCTCAGCTGTGTTTTTAGATGTGTCGCAGGCTTTCGATAAAGTCTGGCACTCCGGATTGCTTACCAAAGTAAAAAATATTCTCCCAACGGAGTATTATGAGGTAATCTCCTCTTACTTATCTGATCGTTACTTTCGAGTAAAGCACGGTGATGCCTATAGTAAACTGCATAAAATTAACGCTGGAGTTCCGCAAGGTAGTGTCTTGGGTCCTCTTTTATATCTGATTTATACACACGACTTGCCAACGAGTGCAACGACGTTCACAGCAACTTTTGCTGATGATACTGCAGTCCTTGCAGTTGGAGAAAGCGCAGTAATAGCAGCTAATAATTTGCAAAATAGTATGGACAGTATAATTGCTTGGACAAAAAAATGGAAAATTAATCTGAATAAAGAAAAATCAGTGCATGTAAATTTCACAAATCGAAACATCAGTCATATACCTGTCTACATCGATGAAGCACAAATCCCTCACGCGAATACTGCGAAATACTTGGGTATGACTTTGGACGCTAAACTAAGATGGAGCGAGCACATAAAAAAGAAAAGAAGTGAATTAGATCTTAAATTCAAATCGTTGAAATGGTTAATCGGCAAAAAATCAAAACTATCGCTTTTCAATAAACTTGTATTATACAAACAAATGCTCCAGCCAATCTGGACATATGGAATACAGCTATGGGGTTGCGCAAGCAGAACACAAATTTCCATCATCCAAAGATTCCAAAATTTCATGCTACGGAGTGTAACAAACGCGCCATGGTACGTGAGAAATTCTGACTTACATCGTGACCTTGGAGTGTCAACAGTACAGGAAGAAATTCATACCAAAGCCAAATCACACCAAGATAGACTTAGTTGTCACATAAATGCTGAGGCGTATTTACTAGCGACAACTGAGCCGATACGCCGTCTAAAGCGCCAAAAGCCGTGCGATCTTTGGGCTTAAATCATTGAAATGTAGTACAATTAATTTATTATTGCGTGGAATCGCCTAATTTGTTTAAATTTAAATTGCTTGTTAGTTATCTAATAACTAGTTGCTTTACGTCTTGTTTTGTTTTATTTATTGTTCTTTAATATCATATATAATAAAACAATTTATAATAAAAAAAAAAAAAAAAAAAAATTTGTTAAAAGTATTATTAGATATCTAAGATAGTTGTAATATCAATGAAATAATAAAAAACAAAAAAGACAAAAATTAATTGCAATTGAAACTGGCATAACAATAATTAAGTGAATATTGGAACTATAACATATATATTAACACACGTGTCCCTGGCTTAAATTTGACAGGGCTTTGATATTGATGCTTGTAGGTCAATAATTGTATGTGGACAATTAAATAATTGGAAGTTTTTAAAGACCACTATTATAAAGAGCGTATAATCAGCAGCCTGATGAAGAATAATTGACAGTATCCGAATATCTTGGTCACCTCAAGAATTAATTTCTTCATTATGTTTCTAAGAACCCCAATAATGAATATAGGGGAGTATTAAAAAAAACTGGATGTTTAACTGAAGAATATGATTAAATGTTATTAAAAAGAGATAATGTTTCAAATAAAAGTTTTTTTCACTGTGTTTCAAAAGATCACGGATGTTGAACTAAGAATTAATTAGGAAATATTGTTTCGAATTAAAATTTTTTCACTAAGTTTTAAAAGACCAGCAATGATGAATTAAGAATTAGTTTCATAAAAATCAATAATATTAAGAATTTAAAAATTTCTTCACTATATGTCCGAGGACCACTAATGATGGATATGTGGTACTCTCTTAATAAGCTTTATGGTCAGCTCAAGAATTAAAAATATATAATATATAGATTTAAAAATTTCTTCAATATAACCAATGGTGCATATTTGACAGCATTTGAAAGTCCTTTATGTTCAGCTCAAAAGTTCTTTTAGTTAAAAGTTGATAAAGTTAATCTCTGAAAATTGTATTCGATAAAAATTTGAAATTTGGTTTTGAATTAAATCAAATTTTATCGTAATTTAAGTCTCTCAATTATTTTGAAAGACGACCGATGATGGATATTTGGCAATATCCAGTTAAGTTTTTAAATTTGATTAAAAATTAAATATTGGTTAAAAATATATGATGAATAAATATTAATAAATTAAATAAATAATAATAAATTTTAAAAAAAATTAATAGAGATGTTTCGAAAAGTAGTGAACTGCAACAACAAAATTTATTTTTATATTATTTTAATTAATTAAATTTTTGGCCAATCCTACAGTTGTTTTGAGTATTGCCTAATACTCATCATCAATGCTCTATTAATTATTTCTTATATTTAATTATATGTGAATAAATTTTTAGGACTGCAAGTACCAGAAATCAAACTCGTGCCCTGCCAAATATGAGGGTCAGAGTCAATGTTCATTAGTCAACTGACACAAAGCCTTACTTGACTGTTATGTTCGCAAATTTTACTGGAATTTTGTTGATTTGCTCTGAAATCATAAACCAGCTGTAGAATAATTAATTTTATAATTTATATTTATGTTTTTTAATTGTTGAATTTCGATACTATTCTTTTGTAGACACATCATTTATTATTTAAAAGAAATTATATTGTATAATAAATTAATATTTTTCTAAAAAGTATCCCTTTTTTTATTTAAAATTGATTTTTGTCGTAGAGGGTAAAAATTTTCTTAAATTATACAATAAAATAATTCTATCTGAATACATATATATATATTTTGAATTTCTTAGTGTCTTCTCATATAATAACCATTTCAAACGGTGGCTCCACATTTCTATTATTCACATATATACAAAACTCTATGAATGTATATATATTTCCTTTATAAAAATATTCAATTATCAAAAGATATAGAAAAATATATTTTTTTTCCTCGCTTCGTTATGAAGTTTTCTGTTACAAATCTTTTTTATGCATATTTTTCTTTTTTATCTATTGCAGGTCAGTAATGTTGAAACTCAATACATTCGAACAGTTGACAATTTGATTGCTTCACGTATCAGCATGAAATTACAGCTGCAGGCCTTTCATTTCTCCAGCGCGAATCCGACTATGATGCACGGACACAATGGCTACGGAGGTCAGATGCTAAACTCAGTGCACGGACCTAATGGCATCGGCGGTGTTGGTGGCTTAGTGCTACGTTGTACAGCGCAAATCGGCGAATTGTATCAGGAATACAAGGAAATTGAATTGGGAACACCACAAAAGGATCCAATACCGGCAAGAGGTGAGTGGTTAGTGTAGAAAAAGCGCTCTAAGTGAAATCTTCTTACTTCAAATAAAATTGCTATTTGCTCTTTTAATTCTGATATTTTTCATTTTTGTCTACTTTCTTCTGTTTTTTCCTTTAATCAACAGTTACGCTTTCATCTGGCAGCAGCATGAAAAATTTCTTCAGTTCATATTTCTTATCGAATGCCCGCAGTATTGAGCCAACCGCTTACTTACTTTTGCTGGCCGCCAGTGTCGTTGGTGCATCAAGAGCAGCTGTTGCCGCCGCTGCAGAAATATTAATTGAAATTTTCAACGCTTTTAATCAACTTTTAATGTACAAAGTTCTGAAACAAATGCATTCCCTGTACGCGCTCGCCCAGCAGCGCCTCTTCTCTCAAAGATAACTATCCAAATTTGCAAAACTAGGTTAATTATATTTTTATATTAATTATTAAGCCACAAAATAATAATTACAATTATGAGATAATTTTATTATTATTTTAATGTGAAAGAAAAATAATTCAATAAAATATAAAAAATTGAAAAAAAAAAAAAATTATTTCTAAAAGAAATGAAAAATAATTTATAAAAATAATATTATATTATATGTGTAATTAGTCTTAGTATGCAGAATTTCAACGCAAGTATGTATACTTAAACAAAATTTATATTAATTAAATCAAAAAGTGAATTAAGTGGTCATGTGTAAATTAATTATAAACAATGTGTACAACTTTAAGTAAATAAAATAAAATCAAATGTTAATTTTAAAACAAATTTCAAAGAATTTTTTTATTTCGTTACATTATCATCATCATCATCATCATTGGCTATTCAGTTTTATTCCAATTTTTGGCACCTATAATTTAAGTGCACTTTTATCACGAACTCAAGCTTATCTTTTCTGGTTCATTTCTGGTTCTCATTTAAGAATGTCAAACAGCAATTGGTCTTCGGAATTAACGAGTATATCCGTGACGTACACTCAACCGCTCCTCAATTATTTTGAGAATGGTGGACGGCACTTGGTAGTCAAAATTTACTGGTGGCCCCAGAAAGTAGACTTAAACGTTAATGGATCCTTTAACATCCTATTCCTAAATAGTATACTATAGGAATGGTGAACGGCAACTAATCTTTGAAATTAAGGAGAATATCCCAGATGTAGACTCGGGATGTTTTGGGAATAAATTATTTTGAGAATGGTAAACGAGACTGTCCGCACATGGATTGTTTTGCGAATGTTGAACGGCACTTAGTCGTCAAATTTGATTGGTGGCTCCGGGACATATACTTAGAGGCTCATGGATTCTTTAACATCCTATACCTAAATAAATAAAATTATTAGCAACTCCATCTAATCTTTTAGTCTTTGGTGACTGTTACACCTTTCTTCGAATTGTTTCAATATGATTTCGTTTATGATTTTAATGATTACGACTGGTAAGCAATAAAATATGTAAACCTTACTTATGACAATGATCGAAAAAAAAAGTATTGCAGAACAGAAGTTACCTCTGTTCTTTATTATTCATATTTGTGGAGAAAAATTTAAATATTCCACTGAAAAATATTGTCTTTATTCTCTATTGTATTTATATTGTTTTTATTATAAATTAATATCAATATAGAGTTAATTGCCATTTTTTTAGTCAATAATGAGATGGGTGATCAAGTCACACTATAACAAAATACATTAACAACAACAAAATCCATTTCAAGTAAGTGTACATAAGCTACGTTTTAACAAATAATATTCTGGATCCTCTTTGCCGGTGCGGATTACTAAATGAAGTGCTTGGCTAAGCAAAAATAGAAGCAATTACCATACATACCTAAAGTGAAAGAACTGCAACAGTAGTTAATGTACATCTAATATAAATAACGAGTTGTTTTGTTACAATTCTTTTCAGTCCTTAAAATCTGGGAAAAATCAAAGTAAGAAAGAATCGTTGGATTATGTAAAACAAAACGAAAAAAATTAAAAACTCTAATATTACATTTAACAAAAAAATGTAATTCTCATCACAAATATATGAAAAGTCCATAGTACATTGAATCAATGATTCCGTATTAAAAACTAACTTTACAATTCTCATCTATTTTGATATTTGCACCAGTTAAGTAGAACGCAGAAAATGGTAGGGTTGGTATAATTTAATATTCCAGTTCTTGCTATTAGTTTTTGATTAGTAACGTTCGTTTTGTTCAGCTTATCGTATTTAATTCTAAAAGTTATTTAAATATAAATTAAAATGTTAATTCAAAGTCTAGTTAATGTTGTGTAATGGTTCTTCTTCAAAAGAATATGAAATAAAAAAAAATCCTTCGGCCAAGGGTGCTAAACCTTCGTCGAACTTCAGAATATTTATAATAAATTTATTTAATGTAAAATCCATGGGAAATTATACCCTTGAAAAATTTTTATTTACTCTTCTGAATTGAAAGATTGGATTTTTCGTTACGAACGAATTGAATTCAGGAATATTTCTCAATATCAAGTTATGGTTTATATAGTCTTCTGACAAAAATTTTAATATATAATATTTTTTTCTTAGATACATTAAATTGTATATGTCAAGACTTTTCTTAATGTATAATATTATCAGATACAGACAGACAGGGAGACAGACGGGTATATAGATAGAGAAACAGATGAAGAGATAAAAAGAGAGGCAAACATATTAACATAAACATACATGATGGAGAATAAACCAATCAGCATTACTAAAACAATTCCTATCATTTAAATTGTCATCAATACGTTAGAGGAAGTCTTCGTAATGGCATTGCAAGCATCTTGGCATATTTAACTTCTTCTTAACTTCTAACTTCTTAGTTCTTATGTTATCTATGTAGAGTCTAATGCGGACCTATGTTTAAACCAAAACCTAAACCGGCGTATATAACATATCTAAAGATGTTAAACGTAGAGTTGTATTTAATAATAATAAATATTTAATCTGGAACTATTTATTGAGACATTTATTAAAATCATAAATCAATAGATAATTATAAGCTATAATTTAGATGATTTGCAATACATTATTGTTAAGTTTTAAGACAAGTCATGTTTACTTGAAAGGAGTTGCATTAATTTAGGATTAGTTTTTGGTAAAACTAGTGTAGAGCAGTTTTTCAATGAATAGATAAAAATTTGAATATATGTGATTAGTAAATATCTGCAGCACCTTGATCGCAATGACTGCTTCACATATATGTGAGTATATATACTCTACTCTTGACACACATTAATCCTAAAGAGTGTTACCGTATTGGCTGGTTCCGGGAGCTTGATTGGGAAGTTTTTATGCATCCACCTAATAGTTCAGACCTAACACACATGATTACCATCTGCTATTGTCTATGGCAAACGATGGACAATTTAATTTAAGGGACGCTTGTGAAAATTTACTGTCTTTTTGTGTCAATTTGGCCGAGGACTTCTATGGGAGAAGCATAATAAAAGTACTTTTAAAATGGCAACAAGTTGTCGAACAGATCGGCGAATATTTGGACTAAATCGGATCATTTTAACTACTGTAAGTAAGCCTTTTTAACACCTACTTCACCTAACATATTATATCGCCCTATCGCTATATTTGTGTTCTAATTTCAGATATAATATTATTACCATTTGGATACTTTGCGTTTAATGGTATTGCCGAGAGCACTAAATAGGCATCTTAAGGAATATTAGAATATTTTAAATATTAGGTCTGTTCCACGAACTACTCGTAGTAAAACTCAAGTAAAACACAAGTAAAATTTACACGAAAATTTGCTGGTGTAGCTGGAGTAGCTCGTGGAACAGACCTATTATGTGGTTCTTATTTTCAACGTAACTGTAAGCAATTATCTGCCAAACGAAAACTAATAACTCAAGAGATATTTTACAACTTTCGAATAAAAATTCATAAAAGTTTGAATTAAAATTTCATAAATTTTTAAATTAAATTTAATTTAGAAATTTTTATCTCGACAATTGCAGGCATAAATAACATTTACCCCGCCCCCGTAGGTGTATCAAATAATAACATTTCCGTTTGATGTTATTTGCTCGGCGTACTCGTATGTGTGTGAATAAATTTTTAATGTCACAAACAAATTAGAAAGAATTGACTTCGTGAGAGCAGCTGAAATGTGGAACTTATCAGGTGAAAGACCCTAGCGAACGCTTTTAATTCGAGACTCTTTGACATGACTTATAATTTTTTTAAAATTTTTTTTTTTTATGTATTATTTAATTCTCCTAACTTCTGCCAAGAATTCCAGTATTTCTCCGACTTAGAGTATCAAACCAAGGCGAAGTATCGCATCCTGGCGTAAGCTGCTACATTTGCATTTATGTTAATAATCCTAATAAGTTTATAATACTCGTACCGCTCCTTAATGTGCGAACTTGCGTATGTGTGCGTTGTATGCATGTATGCACGGGTATGCATGTATGTAAATACGTTTTGTGTTATTTACCTGTGCACACACACATAAATTTCATTTTAATTTCCACTTTTCACGTTTCTCAGTTTTTATATTTGAATTTGTTGCTGCGGAAAATTAAATTTCCTCATGTGAGTTATAAATAAAAATTTACTTGATATTTTGCATTTCTTTCCAGTTTTAAAAAAAAATTCTTTTTTCATTTTTCTGTTGAAATTGTTTTTTACTTTTAATTTTCATGAAAATGAAAAGCGTTGAAAAGCCAAAACAACAATTTCACATATTCTTGAAAGCTCTTAAATATTTAAAAACTTGCGAAGAAGTGTTTTTCAAATGAAATTCATTCAAAATGTATTCCGATTTTATTTACCGGGAGTCCCAACCCAGTAGAGCCACTTCAGATGAAATTCAAATTTAAGTTAGATTTAGTTAATTATGTGATAAATACTTGAAAGTGGAATGCACACGGAGTGGCAAGTGAATTTCCACGTCTTAGAACGTAATATTAGGATTGAATTTCAATTAAAATATTAATTCCAGCTCAGGAATTCACACAATTTCCTCAGATTTTAATCAAATTTTCCATTAAATTGATGAGGTTATTTTGTGAATTTAGTTTCGCTTCTACGAGTACTGCATAGATTGAGCGAAACACAATCTCCAGCATTAAGTCTAATTATATTGAAATTAAAAGATGATACTTGATTAACTATTATACTGAGATTGCATCCAGTGAATCCTGTGAAATCAGATTTTAATGAGTGTGATATGTTAATATATTACTAATAAACATTTCTGGAATATATTTGTAGTTAATATTTTTTCTGAAAAATGACTTCAGTAACTTAATATTTAGTAACAGTATTAGTAATAATCGTACATAAATAGAGAGGTAGATAAGTTTTGAAAGGGTTGGAAACCATGTCACTGATAATCCGTCTGAGGATTATTCTGACAAAACCACTTTAGTTCCATAAGCGAGTAGCAGTTAATTATGTCCCTTGATCAAATGTTCCCAATTTCCGTTATAAG